TTATTTTTCTGCACTGTGACAGTAATTTATTATTAAAACAATGAACAATAATTTAGTCACTGCCAATTAGTATATTAGTAGTGACATATTATATTTTTTTTTTTTATCGAAATTATAGTTTTTAAATATTCAAAATATCAAAAGGCCTGTAAAATGCGTAGATGTAGATTCACGTATAGTAAAGCTATAATAAGTCGTTTTTATTCTTATACATTTAATATAATACTGACTTAAGAAGAGGCTACACCCGCATGTGTTGTCTCTGCCTTACAAATGTAAAACATAATAAAAACTTTTTTGAGCGGGAATGAATTCATATAATTTTATTAACCGTGAAAGCTACAATCATAACTATAAGAAACGAAATTTTCACCTAAAAAAAAAACTTGTATCGTTTTTATTTTTTCGAACTACAAAAAAAAGTGATTCAAAGAGTGATAATGGATTTTGAAACAATAAGAACTTTTTTTGTAAAAGTGATATAAAAAAAAATAAAAACGATATTTCACAGATAATGTTCTGAACTATTTACTGTACATCAATTTGGAGTCTTAACGGGCTGAGTGGTTCTATGCCGCGCCAAACAGTTTTTGTGGGCTGCAATTCTATGGCTATATAGGTGAGTTACGTCATGTCATTAACTTGTTGGAGACCTGTGGATTTCGGCCCGGTCATATTTTATCACCAAGTTAATTGCGGCCCGGGAAAGGTATTTATTTTGTGCCGGCAGTATCTTATCGAAAGTGGATACCATAACGTCGATAGTTCAAACGAAAAATATTACAGTGTTAGTCTGTTCACCACTCAGTACCTGTATCTACGAAGACTACAAATTCTGTTTGAGTGTGTATTGCACAGTATTTATAAGTGCGTTATGGAGTTTGTAAATAGTGAAAAATCGAAGCCAATTATTCTCTACGAAGGCTACAAATTTCGTTTCCACAAAACACTAAAAAACGATGTAGGTACAGCGTTGCAGTGTCAAAAGTTGTGAGCGCTTTTTAAAATTATCTCCTTTAAATATAATATAAATATAAAAAAAAAACAAATTTTTAGGAGACGACTCAGTTAACCTCCCCGTGGTGTCTTCTGGGTGACGCTGATAGGCTGATATGAAGTGATAAATAAAATTTGGCCGCAACTAGTACTTAATTTAGGGATCGGGTCGCAACTCACCAACACCGAATTCTATAATAATATGCTTAGGTATTAACCTTTATTATAGGATAAGAATTATATCTAATACCTACGTAGTGCGTATATAATATCATAATATGATATTATTCAACTTGAATAAAGCAACAAAGACGGTAACGAACCTATATCTAGTCAATCCGTACAAATTGCAATATACATGACATTAAATACACATATCCAAGCACCATACACGAGGCCTAATATAGGTATATTCACTGCGTAGGTACTTCATGATTTATTCTATATAATTTAAATTACAAATTACAATACAATTTTTTAAACTTTAAAACGTTATCGAGTGTCCCCAACAGAGCAGTGTTGTTTTGGAGGGTATACGGCGTATACCCATTGACTATTTTGGTGAATTAGCCTATTATACCGGGTATATAATATACCCTGTAAATAAATACGCACGTATACCTTCATTTTTTTTTAAATTGAGCAATCTGTATTTTGTATTATTATTTATATTTATCATAATATGAAATGCATTGATGCAACAATCGTCAATAAGTTAAAACCGTATAACGAATAATTAATATTAGTTGTTACCACTTGCTATCTATTGGCATCGTTCATTACCGACGACCGCGATTATCGCAATTTTTTTTTGATAAATATGTTCCAAGTTGCAACCATCATAGAGTACTTAATAAAGAAAACTATAGTTAAATGTTATAAAATGTTGACCTGTGAAATAGTTGTAAACACTTGGGTAAATTAATAAAAATGTACAAATATGGGTAACACAAAAATTAAAAATTAAAAATAGGTAACACAAAATGTATTTTTATAAAGTTTGCGGTTTTGTGGATGTATTCCGTAAGAGCTCTGTAAAATAATTGTTCACGAGCGAAGCGGGTGGCTTTTTAAAGGGTTGAATCTTATTAGTTGTGCATTTATGTTCATTGAATATTTGCCTTAAATTCATAAAATATGAGCATATAAACCCTAGTTTTTTTAACACAACTGATTAACAGTAATGAGTAAATGTTTTATTAATGGGATCGGATCGGTGGCGGACGGTTTGTAAGGAGTTCGAATTAAGCAATTTTCGAATAAATACGAGTCTTGAAAAATTGTGGGTGTTAAGCAAGGCCATATCTGAGGCCCGCCCCCCCCCACCGAAATTTCTTGAATATGTCTTATTTTTAACCAAATATCAAAACCTAAATTCAATAAAATTACAATATACACGTTGTAGGCCCCCCCGAAAAAAATTTCTGGATACGGCCTTGGCGAAAGTGTGACTGGACTGTGTGTAAATGTAAAAGAAATAGCTACCAAGGCGTTCCTGCACACGAATGTACAAATCAGAGTTGCAAGCGTGAACGGTAAACAATTTATGTTAATTTGTATGTATTTTGTTCCATCCAACCGATCGACCTGATGGAGCGATCATTTTTCAGAAAACTGATCTGAATTCGTTATAATGTCTACTCGAGATCGGTCAGTCCACATTTTAAGATTTCTGATTTAAATTCCAAATAATATACGTTTGAAAATTACGAAATTTCAAAATATTCAATCTATAGTTGTTGGGGGGTGAAATTGAGAAAATTGGACTGACCTATTTCAAGTAGACATAATAATAACGAATTGAAATCAGTTTTAAAATGTATTATCACATTACTAGGTCAATCAGCATGGTTGAATAAAGATTGGTATGTTTTGGCTAAAATAACTGTCAGCCACTGATCCCCTCAATAGGTATTCATTAGTATAAATAAATAAAATAAATCAAGATTTAAATTATTATTTCATATTAACAAAATTAAAGTACATGTTGATGAATAAGTATGTATGAAAGACTGTTTTATCTTAATTTAATAGAAATACATATATTTTTGTTCTTATGCATAAACTGGGCTAAACTTTTGCTAAAGCTTCTTAATTTCTCAGTCTTGTGATTATAGATTCCTCAAAGAGCAACTTCATAGTTTCATATCCCACTGCTTTCAAAAATCATATAAACAAAATTTAATTTGTGTCATGCCTACGCCGAGAATTTAGTTGAAAATTACCATTTTACATCCAGTGAACAGCAAATAGTAGATTTACAAATAATGTAAAAGAAAAAAACAATACACAATAATGGTGTTTTGAATAATATGTATATAATATATTATTCTTACTTTTAAATATTATAAAGATGTCTTTTTTGTATCTATTTACTACAAGTATTATTATATAGTTTCATGGTGAATATAAAACACTATAATTTTGGTCGATGATAAACATTTTCAATAGCAAAACAATATCACATAATATTTAATAATAATAATTTATAATAATAATAATTTCATACAATCAGTTAAGGATTAAAGTATAAACGAATGCAATTTTATTTATATAATATATATATAATGAATATAATAAACAATTGGTTCAAAACTCATAAATAAAAATAAATAATTGTAAAAATAAATTAAGAAATGTGAGTTATTTTATATTAGTTAAAATTCATAAAATGCCAACGTTTCAATAACAACACAACACTTATGAATGCAAATGGATATCAATATATCATAATTGAATTGACGCTTAAATTGACTAAACTATAATAAGTTATATTATAATGCAAAAACGCTTATCCAATTCACAATAGTCTTTCAATCTAATTTTATAAGACAAGAACAACTATACAATAATGTTTGTTTGATGATCAATAAATAATTATAAAAGATTGTCAGAATATTGGAACCAAGTACATTACATTCTTTTTTCAAGTTACACTAACAATTTAAAAGACTTAAATAATAAATTACACTTTTCAGTATTATTTGACATTTGTATACATATTTATTTAGGGTGGTTCAAAAAAAAATATATATATATACATTGAATGTATTAATAAATTGTATTAAACATTACATTTTAATGTTTAATACAATTTACGATTTACAATGTCGTATAACAAATCTAAACTAAAGATTTATTAATTATTTAGTTATTAAGGTGATAAATTATAATTAATAACTGGTTTAATACAATTGTTGATACAACAAATTTGTTTTAAATTTATAAATTATAAAAAATATAAATCAATTGCATATTATTTTGTAAAAAAATATAAATATAGGTACTTAAAAAAAAATAAATAACTTATAGGTAAATACTATATTTGATTATTGTTATAATCAAATTTTAGAACACAAACATTATTTCTAATTAAAGAACTGATATGTAGGAAAATAATTTAAAGGCAATTTTACTCATTCCCCAGCTCACTTATATTATTTTCTTTAGCCTAGCTAAAAGACAATGATTACACGTTTATTTGAACCACCCTTTTGAAATACAACATGAACACTTGTTAGACTTAGACAATGTTTTTTAAACTAAAGCACAAATAAATTGTAGTTTATAATATAATATAATAATATTAGAGTAACAAAACTATAATAATATGTAACATTTAAATACTTATTGGAATGTTACAATATCTCAGCACGTTTGTGATATAGAATCGCTAACTATTACAATATACACAGTAAACACATTAAAAATATGGATGGAATCTTCAGAAATCATAATAATACAAAATTTAAATATAGTTGTTCGATTACAAAACAAGTAATTGATTCATATTAGGCTTAAGAATAAAATATTAAAAAATAATGATAGGCCACATAACAAGCATGAATAAATAAACAAATAAATTAAATTAAACAATTGGAAAGATGAAAATATGGAATGTCAAATGTTTCAATGGAACACAAAAAAAATAATTTGGATATCTAATATGGATGGAATTTCAAAAAAAAATAAAAAAAGATGAATTTGTTATTACTTTTTGTTCATCATGTTTGTTGTTGCTGTTGAATTTCAATCTTTTCTACAGTCATGTCAGGGTTCATTTCTGTAGCTTCCTGTATGGCGTCAGCCAATGCTTTGTCATGATCAATTGGATCACCATCACTCTGTATGGTTATTTTTTGTTCAACTCTTGTCTCAACAACACCATCTTTTTCAGTTTTGTACTTGATAAAAATAAAAATTTTAAATTTTAAAAAACAATCAAATTATGTTAATTTATATTTTGCTTACTGTTACAGTTTCAACAGTTCGTGTTTTACTAGAAATGGCCTGTGTTGAGACTATCTCTCCTGTGAGCGTGTACGACTTGTCATTAGCTGTGATGTTTATGTTATGTCTCTCTTCAGCAGAGTTTGAACCAGCCGTCACATGTTCGGCCTTAAACTCATTCTAAAAAAAAAAAAAAATTAATTAATTAATTAACATAATAATAATTATTAATTATTAAGAGGTACTTCAATTATTTTTAATTTATTTTTTTTTAGAAGCTCATTTTAAATAAATAGTCCAATACCTGAAAATTGCTATTATAATATCCTAGCCCATTGGACTCATCTAATGGGCCTTCAACATCGATTGGTGTGCCTGAATCGTTTGAGCTAAGGCTTGAACTACTTGAAGCTCTACTTAGCTGAACATGCCATAATGTATAAAAAATATAAAAAGTTAAAAACATGCTACAAAAGTTCATACACAAAAAATAATATTGATTTAATTTATACTTAAAAAAAATGTAACTCTAATGCTATATAGTATATTAAACTGCCTGTTATAAGAAAATTTAAATATTGATAAAAAATATTTAATCTCAAATGTAATTACAAAATGACTGTTGCATAAGAATAAAAATTAAGATGCAAATATGTATAAATAGAAATGAATACAATTTTACCTCAACTTTTGATTCTGGTGCAAGAATTGTTGATGTAGATATGACTTCCTGTGTAACAGTTCGTTGTTCTTGACGAGTACCACTGGTCGTTGTTGTATGCGCTACAGTTTTTTCTTCGACCTAAACTCAATAAATAAACTAATTAATATTATAAAACTTGACACTTACAGTTGAATATCTTCTCAACACAACAAATAAACATGTGCTAATAATTAAATCTGCTTCACAATACCTGACTGGTTTTAGAATTTTTTTCCAAATCCTGGTGAGTAGTTGCTGTACGAGTAGTTACTGCTGTTGCCTTTACATATGGAGGCCTACCAGTAGCTGTGTCCAAACCTTCAGCCTAAGCACAAGCAAAACAAAAAAACCATGCAAAAGTAAAAAAAAAATAGTAAGCCAAATTTACTCAACTACTATTACCTTATTGTGCTGTGTTGATACAGTTACTTCTCCAGATGTTAAATCTTCAACTTTTTCCTCAATATTTTGAGTAACTCCCTCCTTATCCTGGATCATTGTCTGTTTTGTTGTAGTTTTTACAATTAATGGTGCAGAACTAACTAGTGGTTTATCATCTTCATATTTTTTTTTTTCATTATCAATGAAGTCTGATGATTCTTTTTTTGGATCTATCTCGGTTTTATCTTTAGATCCTCTACCAAAAGAACCCAACTTGTCCATAGCTTTTTCTAATACCCCTTTACCACTGTCATTTTCTTTTGATTTCTTATTAAAAATACCTAATTTTGAATCAATTTTTTTCTTCTCAGTCTCTACAGTAGTTTCAGCACTGGCTGAGACAACTTTTTTTTCCAAAACAGTCTTAGTAAAAGCAACTTCACCAGTGGATTTTTCTTCTTTTGTTTCAAAATTAGTTTTAGGTTCTTTTTTAACCGATTCTTCTTTGTGAACTGCTGATTGTACATAGTTAATTCCTGGTGTTTTAATACCATCGGCAGCCACTTTTTCCATGAACGTTTTTCGCTTTTCTGCTGCAGTTTCTGCAACTTTCTTTGCCTCTCCAGGTGCGTAATTAAATGCTAGGCCTTGTGCTCTTTTACTAGGAGATGTTGGGATTTCAGAAATATTTTCTTTTGATTTTTCCATATTATTTTCATAGGTAAATCCCCCGACTGGCTTGCGTTTTTTGGTAGCACTGTGTTCATCTTCTGTGTAATTATATGTTTTAGTAAAACTGGGTGATGTGGAAATAGCAGATACATTTACAGTAGTTTCAGCCATCGAACGATCAGCAAATGTAGCGTTTGATGATAAATTAGAAGTAGTGCTGTCAATAGTTTTGAGACTCGTTTTTGATTCTTTTTTTGGTTTTTTTAAATCTTTTTTGGTTTTTAATTTGAATTTGTCTAAACCTTTGGGGGACTCAGGTTCAGCGCTTGTGTCAAGGCTGTTATCAGCTTTCAATTTGTCTTTAGATTTTTTAGATTTTAAACTAAAACTGCTAAAAATACCTCCAGGACTCTACAATAAAAACAAACCAAACAACATGGAAACTAAGAAAATGCATACAAGTATACTACAAATAAGAATAACTTATAAAATAAAGTTACCAAAATACTAAATTATAATATAACATATTCACTCATGTCAAATCATAAACTATTTTTCTTTAAATTAAAAAAAAAATGCATAGTAAAAACTAAAACATATACACAGGTAAAATAATTTCCATCACACAAGAATAAAAAAAATAAATAATAAAAGTAATAAATCAGAAACAGATTTTTATATAGCAAAATAAAAAAATTTGTAAATGTGTCAAGTGATCAGTCAAAATTATATAAAACAAATCTTAACATAATAGCATGTAAAAAATGAATAACAAGTAGATACAATTATTAAAAATAATATACTACTGAGTATACTCAAGATTATTTTAATAAAAGTGGATCAACAACTTGGCATGGACAAGCATCATTTTTGTCTGACGTATGATGTTTGATGATTTTAAGTCTTTGATTGATTATTTATTAAAACCATGCTTTTTTTTTTTTTTAACTCCCAATAAATCTCCAGTAATTGAGTTATTCTAATTTATTTGTTTAATAGTAAATAGTATGTCCAAGTAATAACTAAGAAGAATAAAACAAAATGTATGGAAAAAATAGACTGTACTAAAAAAAAATTATACACATTTCTTATGAAATTTAAAATATCTCATAATATTCCAACCCAAGTATTTTGTATATAAGAATCTGTTCCTTCATAATAAATTTCTAGTATTAAAAATTTAAATTTCAAAATGAAAATGAAAATATTTCTGTAAAACTCCATGCTCACCTTAAGTTTAGACTTTTCATTATCTTTAGTAGAATCTGCTTTTGAAATATCTAATGAGTTGATGCCTGAAATATCAGCACTCGTATTAGTATCATTCGCAGACAAAGCTTCACGTTCTTTGGTTATAAAACTTGTAGTTTTTATAGAAGGAGAAATTTCACGATTTTCTTTTTCATCATCTTCTTCAACACCAATACCACTAAATTCAAAATGGTATATTTAATATTAAGTTTGCCAATTATTAAGTTTAGAATAAACATACTTTGAAACTTTAGACGCATCTTTGTCTTTTTTCCTCCTCATGAAATTAAACGATCCTGTTGGTAAAACAGCAATTCCTCCAATTGGTTTCTGAAAATCAGTTATAATACACTTATTATGGATAATATATTAAAAATTAATAAGAAATACAACTATACAAGTATTTAATCAGTATACATTGTCCACTATTGTTTGCTGTATATTTATTTAGTAATTAATAATATGACATAAGCTCAAATTATACTAAAATTAAGTAAAATTTAACTATATTTTAGAAGTCATAATTTTCTTATTTAAATTTAAATGTTTTCATAATACTGATTTCTTATAAATACAACAAATAACAATCAATTAAGTAGTTACATAAATAACAAATGCTATATGATTATTTTTATAAAAGTTTTGATCTGTTGGGTAGATAATATTTTAAGTTATTATAAGATGCAGTATTTAACAATTTATGTATTATTTAAAATATATTGGTAATTTCTAAAAGCAATGAATACCAACTCTGTAAATTATAAACCACAATATCATAAATAATAGAATTGATTTTAGGATAAACCTGAAATTGTTAAGTAATGAAATAAACCTAATTAAATACCTAATAAATAATTTTTATTATTTATTAAAATTTTAATAATATATTATTATTATATTTACAATCGTATTTTAGTAATTGAACAAAAAATTAGTTGAGTATATTAAAATATATATAAAGTTACCTAGCTGCTTCCTATTTAGATTGTATAAAGCTGTTTATTATAAATTAACTAGAGAATATTAACTGTAATAATTTATGGTTAAAATTTATAATTTTTACTATAAAAAATATTTAATGTATTATTTATATTAATTAATTGGATCAATAATTATAAATATAATCAAAATTAATTTACTATATGTCGGTATATTTTATTATAAGAATGTACATACATACTATATAATTTAATACCCAACAATGATATAGTCAGAAATATGAAAATAATATATAAATGGTAACAACAATAATAATCATTCTTTTTATATTATAAGTAGGGTTTAGGACTTTTTGCACTGAAAATGCTTAAAATGTGAAACTAAAATTGTTTTGTTTGAAAAAAGTACAATATATACAAAAGTTCAACGCCAAAAATAATTTGATAATTTATGAATTAGTAATTGATTAATCTAACCTAATTAAGATATAAATAAATAAGACTTTTGTTTGATATTTTAGGTACCTATTTTTAAACAAAATAAAATGAGTTGTAAAAAAAAATTAATTATGTAGAGAAATAGGTACTTCTTGCAAGAACAAGTATTGATTATTATTAATTCTTCGTACAATCTATACTCATTCCTCATTCATGTTATGATGTAACCTCGGCAGCAGTCAGTCTACACCCATTTGTAACCCCCACCAAGTCAACAATCTGTGTTATTAAGCCACAATCCTACGCACAAATCTGCCAACGAGGTTCCTTCTTAACATGATTAGAATATAGATTGGTGGCGGACAGTTTTTAAGAAGTTTGAAATTGGCAATTTTCAAATTGCATGCATGCAGGTCTTGTAAATGTATGCGTAGTAAGTGATCATGTCTACTTGAGATCGGTCAGTCTACATTTTAAGATTTCTGATTTAAATTCCGAATAATCAACGTATAAAAATTCCAAAATTTCAAACTAATTGTATAGTTGTCGGGGAGTGAAATTGAGAAAAGTAGACTGACCGATCTCAAGTAGATATAATAAAGAATTTAAATCAGTTTTAAAAAGTATTATCACATTACTAGGTCAATCAGTATGGTGGAATAAAGATTGGTATGTTTTAGCTATAATAACTGTCCGGCAGTGTCCGCCACCAATCCCCTACATAGGATGTTATAGTTGTAACCACATATTGTGTAGTCCCGGTCATACTAACACATAACATTGTAAATTGTACGTTCAGAAAATCTATTTTACATCTTTACTCTATTATTATTAATAATAATTAGAGTGAATGCACTAATATATGCTTTCAAAATTTCACAACATGCACTTTTCCTAAAATGTCAAACTTTATATAAAATTTTTAATTTTCACAAAACAAATATAATCTTACATAGAATAATCTACAACCACCTCAAATAAAATGCAAATGCAAGAAGTCTCAAACACTAATTATAAGTAATATTTGATAAAAATTCTAGAAACACAATGTTTTACTGAGTAATTAAATATTTTAGTAAGTGATTAAAATATACTTAAATCAGTTTTTTGTTATTTATGTACACTTTAAGATAAGGTAAACCATTGTACATTTTTGATAATAACATAGAAAAATAAAACTCAATGACATGTCCATAAAATGATAAAAATAGTTTGTAAACATACAATTTAAAATTATTTAATTTTCTAAAGTGTGCGAAATTATTGAAAAGTTGACCTTGGGATAAACAAATTCTATCAAAAATAAAATAAATTTTAATCAACAAAATTGAAAAAGGTATATGGTATGATAAATATTCTCAAGGTCAACTAAACATAAAATGAGTGCAAATATTTCTGAAAAGTCGTCAAACTATATACCTTGGACTTTTGAATGTCTGAGCTGCTTCGTTCGGCGTCGTAATTGCCTTCCTCTGTTACAGAGCTGTCGTGAGAACTTATGCTCACTTTTTCTTTTAGCTATTATTAGTGCCCAATAACAGAAGTTAGTTACAAAATAATAAGACAAGAACTAATAATTTTCCAGATGAAGTATTTAATTATTGAAACTTATCTATTATCTTTTTTATAATGATTTTTAAAATTAACTAATACCTTTCGTTTGTCATTTTTGTTTGACTTTCCGCCTTTTCCTATGTTGTTGTCTATGTCAGAAACACGGTCAGGAGGATGAGACATTGTGTGTCTTTTAGACTCAGGTTCCATTCCAAAATCTTCTCCCAAATGTCTGGTTCCTCCTAAGGCTTTAAGTTAGAACATTTAATTCATTAAAATATACTTTATAGGGGATAACATAAACACAATTCCTTACTATCCATGCTTCTAGAAGTCAATGTTCTTCCACTTAAGCTTCTTTGGAATTTTGGTGCAGGTCTCTCAATTGGGTTTTTTTTAGATTCATAATGAGTACGGCCAGAATAACGGAATCTTGAACCCAAACGAGGAAACAATCCAAGTTTTTGAGTTGGTTCAGGGGTCATCAGCCTAATACATATTTAAGATAAACCAAATTATATTTAATATTTTTATAAATTAAATTTATAAAAGTACAGACCTAAAGAATGTATGATGTTCAACACAAGTTTTCCATAATTTTTTAGCAAGTCTATGGTTAGGCAATTTAAAACCAACTGTAGCCTCTTGCTGTTCAAATTCACCTGGACGAATTTTAATGTAATAATGATTTCGCTTGTAAGAAATTTTCAATATTTTAGGCCAGGCAAAACGATTAATGCGTAAACGATCCCTGTGAACGAGCAAACCAGAGGAACATACTCCCAACATTATATCTACACCTTCAGAATCTTTAGCTGGGTGCAAGTCCACACCATACATCGCCAATTTTTTGGCATTGTTCAAATAATTTAATTCTGCTTCTGCTGGTGTTTGACCCCTAATTAAAAAAATTAAATATTCGTATAAATTGTTTTAATATTAATTAACTCGGGATCATGTTACTTGTGCGTTCTATGAAGTTCCATAACCTTTTCTTCAAGTTCTGGTGATTGATTTGGAGCAAACTTAAACTCTTTCAAATAATTTGTATTATTTTTGTGTTCATCGATGTCATAATCTCCCAATTCAGACTGAACCAAATATGAACCCAACAGTGCATGTGTGACAAAAGAACAAGGCAACCTGGTAAAAAATTAATTTTCAAATATTTGTAACGACAGAGATTATTAATAACAAATGTACATACTTTCCATTGAGAATATCGTTTCTAATTTGTAAACATAGTTGATAACGGGTGATATCTTCTTGAAGTTGATTGGGATCAGGAGGATAAAACTTCATTTCAAAATTAAACAACCATGGTTCACCTAAAAGTAAACAATAAGAATTAAAATATAGACTTTATAAAAGTTTAAAATCAAAAGAAATTAAAAATATTGCCAACTTTTTAGAAACTTTCCAATGCGTTTATCCATTTCAAGCCAATTATGAGGATCACGTCTATCTTCATAAGATAGACCAAAATAATCACGTTCTAATAAATTTAACCGGTCACATATTTGATCTAATAACTCTTGACCTTTAGCTTTTCTCTGAAATATACAAACATACAAGTAAATATTTATAAACATTATACCTATAAGTTAAGTATAAATAAAGTTTTTGAACAAGATGATACATAAATATATTAATAATATATATACATATATTGTAAATAAAATATATCGTAAATTCATTAATAATTAATTAAACAATTTTTGTATAAATATTTACATCAATTTGAACATCTAAATATGATCCATCTAATAAAAGAACACGAGCTAAAGCAGTCTTGCCTTTACGAATTGATTTCTTCTTTGGTGAAACATTGCCATCGGATGATTCGTTCTCCATTGCCGTCATTGTATTATATCTAAAACACGTTTAGGAAAATTATACATTGTATAATAAATTCAAATATTTAAAAAAATATTATGTACAGAAATATTACTAATTAGTAATTAGTAGATATTACAAAAATGACTAATGATCATATGACTTAATGAAATTCCATACAGCATAAATTTCTGACTAGCCCGTAATCTGTCAATGCAATACAGAATTTGAAAAGTTAATCAATTAGATTACATCATTAGTCATTACAGAGAAAACATTAAATTTAAAAACAACTGTACTATTCGTGAATTAAATAAATATTTGTATCGTTCACTAATAAGTAATAACTATTGTAGGTAATATCCACTTATAATATCTATTTGTGTTATTCTATTCTGTGGTAATATTATTGTCTTAAGCTCTAAAATTCAAAGAAAAACTTAACTCAAGCCGGCATCCCGTAATAATTAAATTTGTGGGCAATGTGCAACGTCCAACACCCGCGTATCGAAACACGCACGACTCTGCAGTTTTGAACTCACCGTACATATTTTTTTATTAGCGATAGGACTCTAATAAGCCAAGCCTTAGTCATAGTTGTTTTCAGGATGCGATGAATTATAGTGGCTTTCAAACACATAATAAAATTAATACTGAGATGAATCAAATAGGTCAAACCGTATCCAATAGCCCGAACTTTATAATTCTGCAAAGCAATCGACAGGTTTGATCTTTTTTTTTGTCATAAATACCCCTACCTTTTTTTATTTAATACACAACAAATGCATTAATAAAATATAATTTTATTATATTAAAAATAATAAGGGTGGTATAAAATTGTAATAACAATTTGAAGGGTTAGTGTAAACATCAATTGCAAATCAATTACGTATTGTTAATTGTTTTATTATTGAAATTCTTTTAAAATTGTTTTACATGTCAGTTTAAAAAATTAAAACAATAAAAATAATATGAAAACGAAATCACTGATTATGTATTCATTATTTAATCATAATAATATGCAATGTTAAAAATGTAAACATACTATACATACATTAAAAAATCAATAAAATTACGTTAACAATATTTTGAATAATACGGAACAATTTAATAGCGTAATACTATATTTTATATTTGAAGTGAAAATGATATACTTATAATATTCACTGATTGGATGATAATTTTATTTTTAGTATCAGTCATAAAAATATTCAAAATCATTCGCGTAGGTACCTACGATCAAACAAGAGTCACGAAGCTTCAAAAGACTCAAATAACCGAGTGTAATCACTAACCACCCTCATTTCATAAATTGATCCCTAGCATGTTATGTTTCAGTTAATTTTGTATAAAGCATGAATATTTTTACGTAATATTAACATACAATGAAGGCTATCGAACTCGGGAAAAAATGAAATTAATGAAAATGTATTATTAGCTAAATATATTAAAATGTTCAACCTACAAAAATATACTAGTCATTCATAAAGTGTTTGTACTCACGCACACGAAAAAATAATAATAATAATAATAATAACACTTTTGATTATCAAACCTGGGTAAAGGTAGAACAATAATTATTATAATAATACAATAGATTTCATAACGCTTTTCAACACACAATGCAGAAATATAGGACAATGTAGGGTAATTTAACGAATATATTATATTCTCCAAAAATAAAAACTAGGGGATTCGGGAATAGTTTATTGTGGATTATTTAATCTATGTAGCGTTTATAACTGAAGTCAGAAGCAAAAAAAAAATGTATAAATTAGATATTTTTATGATGTATAAAATACACATAATATGCTATCAAATAAAATTCGAATTTTATTCTATATAATACCACTTCTTCTTCTTCTTCTTCAGCTTATCGGCCCATTAAGTGCCATCGCTGCCATCACCAAACCTCTCCATTTCTCTCTATCGTATGCGTCGTCAAAAGATGACGCTTCCTCTATGCTTTTTATATCTTGAGCTATAACGTCCACCCATCGGGTCCTTGGTCTTCCTAATGGACGTTTTTTATTTATTGTGTTAATTAAAACTTCTTTTATTACTTGTCCATCCGCTCTCCAAACATGACCGAACCATTCCAGACGCTTGCTTCTTATATATGCAATAATATTTGGCCTGTTATATAACTCCTGTAGTTCTTGATTATTCCTTCTTTCATAAGTTTGCGATTCTGCATCGAATTTCGGGCCGTATATATTTCTCAGTACTTTTCTTTCGAAGGTCATTAGCCGTTTGCTGTCTCCTTTGGTCAGTGACCATGTTTCACTCATATAATACCACTGTCCACACTATATTCTACGGTAACTATTTAATTGATAATAATTGAATAAAAATGCTGTTAAATATACAAATATTTATTTTTTAATAATTAATCAAAATAACCCGATGTATGGAGGCTCGTCATGCGCGAAAAACTAAAATGTGTGAATCAATACACTCTTTATATACATATGTAGCATGTACTTATTTAGTAGTATAAAATGATGTAAAAAGATCTTCCAAAATTTAAATCATCATGATAAACAAGGACTTTATCATTATTATTTGTTCAATAGCATATTTGATATTTGTAAATATTTGTTAAATGTATGGTTTAATCATTAAATACAATTATCGAGTTCAGAGGTTCAGTGGAAAAATTTCCAGACTAGATAGCAGATAAATATGAAATATGAATATTCATAGAAACAATTTGATTACCTATTATATTTTAAATACTTTATTGAGTGGTGTTGATTTGCACAAAACCGTTTTAATAATATAACATAATACTATACCTAATGTTGTAATTACGTAACCTAATAGGTAGATATGGACTTCCTGTAAAATATGTAAATAATATTTTAGTTGTTAAACTTTAATTTCCCCATAAGATATTCAGTAGCTTACTAAAAACCCCGCCACCCTATAAATACGTTGGTTGTATGACACCCTTTTATAAATAAAGCAATGGACAATGATAAACTTATAAATTATAATATTATTTTATTTCCATGAATACGACTGCCGAGTGTTGTGTTTAATATATTCAGCAACATTCTAAAATAATATTTACAATTTAAATCCTCAAATACATCTTATAGCACATATAGCATGACCAGGACACTTCGCTTCAAAATAAAATGTATAATATACAGTCGACTGGTATGAGTGTATGACACTTAAAAAGTTGATGATCGTAAGCTTAAAATTAAAATGAAAATGTGTACAAGCCTCCTATAACATTTGAAGTCACGGATTCACCGTTAACATAAAAAATAATGTCACTTCAATTTCGAAAAATAACTTATTATATTTTAAGAATTGTGATATTAAACTGTCACTATTAAACTAACATTGACCTATTAATAAATGACAGAATGACCAGTTAAATACTACATGTATATTTTATATGCGGAGATGCATGTTTAACATTAATAAAAGCCAAAAAAATACAATAACATTGTGTTATTGTACATAACACATGATATAACCCGATATAGGTACAATTAAATTGAATGTACTATTGTCGTGAAAAAACGCTATACAATTGCGAAAGTACTACAATTTGAAACTATTTAAGTTCAAGTTAGCTGCATTTTAATGTTGATTAATGTTCAAACCTGTGGCAATACTTGGAGACCTCTTGTCTAGAGTAAAGAGTAAATTCATTTCGGAAATTAAACAATTATAACATAAAAAATCAACAAATACAATTATTTTGTAGTTGAATATAAAATTATAATATTTCAATATTTAAAACATTGAACACCTCGTATTTTTTAAGAAATTATTACTATTGTATATTATTACTAAATAAGTAATAACTAATTATTACAAAATGTACGTACATTATAAACCCTAGATGATAGATGTACATTGTACGCCTATAGTTATGATCTCAGCTCCGAGTTATGCCTACATAGTCAGACAATTTCACTACCTATTGTATTTTTAGTTTTTACCTTTTACTAATAGTTTGTTCAATATACAACAGAGGACAAATGAAAGAGAACTATCATAAAGGAAAGGAGTGGCGCTCACGCACGTGTTTAAAGTCAATAACCGCTTCAATATTTCATGTATTCTTTGTGCACACTGCTAAGTTGACACGAAACTAAATAATTTCCAAAGGGTGATTTTTTAACCCTTTGAATAATATTCTATAGGATCGATAGGTTTATTGTTAATAAACATCTGCAGTTATTGTTAAACCCTTGCTATAATATACGCGAGTATTACAATACATTTTAATACCATAATAAATTACTGATAAGACTGTATCTACTAACGGAAGTTTGAAATTAATTATTCATATGATAGTTACACATTATATAAGATAATAATATAGTAAAAAATCCAAAAGGGGCGAGCAAGATTTTTTAATGGGGGGAGATATATTATATATATAAAATAGGTGCAATGATAATTAGCAAAAATATATACTATAGACAATAATAGAGGTGGGATAAAATGTTATACATTATTATTTGTTAATATTATATCAAATAAGATAATAAAATATTTAATATAATCGATCAAAAATGAAAAAACACAATTTATATTTTTTCGGCAATGGGTGAGGTTAAACCCCCAACCCCTCCCCCCTTTGAGCACGAGTCTGCCAAAAGGTACATATAATTAAAACTGTACCTATTTGTTGAATATCAATGAACTTTGAAACACGATATGCAACAATTTAAAATACAATGGCAAAATAATAAACCATGCTTCACAAATGGAAGTCGGTTAAGATATTAGGTACCTATTCAAAATAATATAAGCATTCCGTTTCGCTCTGAAAGATTTATTTTTAAATTTGATGACACTAATAAATGTGGTTTTAGACATCTATAAAGACGACGACGATTCAGTTGAACTTCAACAGCATCATTATTCATTCCTTTAAATAGTGCGTAACAATTCGCAGTTATTATAGTATTATCTGAGGGGTGTGGCAAATTGGTGACAAATTGTAGGTCATGATCGCACCAAAAAAATGTACCGATGATAAGTGATAAAATATA